GTGTCTATTCTGCCCAACCTGAGATATAATATAACATTGTGGTTAACTTGTTTGAGCTTGTGGCTTGAATTTACTACTTACTAGGTGTCTGACAACAAAGGTCCAACAAAGGTTCATCTACTCAAAGCTGTGGTTTTCCTAGTAGTCAAGTATGGCTGTGAGAGTTGGATGATAAATAAAGTTGAGCACTAAAGAATTGATGCTTTTGAACTGTGTGTTGGAGAAGACTCTTGAGAGTCCCTTGGACTGCAAGGAGATCAAACTAGTCAATACTAAAGGAAATCAGTCCTGAATATTCATTGGAAGGACAGATGCTGAAGCTGAAACTCAAATATTTTGGCCAGCTGATGCAAAGAACTGACTCATTTGAAAAGACCCTGATGCTGGGAAAGATTGAAGGCAGGAGGAAAAGGGGACAATCAGAGGATGAGATGGTTGGATGGCATCACTGACTCGATGGACATGAGTTTGAGCAGACTCTGGAGTTGGTGATGGATAGGAAGGCCTGGTGCGCTGCAGTCCATGGGGTTGCAAAGAGTCGGACATGACTGAGTGACTGAACTCACTGAGATGTCTGACCTCAGGCAAGTTTCTAAACTTTTTGTGCCTCTGTTTCTTCATTGGTAAAATAATGATTTAAAAAATATTACCTATTTCATAGAGCTTTTGAAGATGGAAAGAGTTCATGCATATAAAGCACTTGAAAGCCTGGCACACAGAAAGCACTCACTAAATATTAGCAAGAAGCAACATGTCCCTCGCCCCTTGGCCCATAAGCTCCATGGTAACAGGAGTAGCTATCCTTTCTAGTATATTCTCCAAAGTGTAGTACAGAAAGCACAAAACAAATACTTCTTAAATGAAAGAACTTAATTTTGATTGATAAATTGAAAATCATATCAGAACAATAACATTACTATTTAAATCCGAACAAACATGTTCCAACTGGAAAAATAAATGTCCTATAATTTGAATGCCGATGTTGCTTTTCAATTTTGCTGAATTTTTATCCAGTAGACTTACATTGTCTCTAAGAAAAAGATTTAGGAAGACAACATGTTTTCTCCTCCCAGTTTACGAGCCTACTCTTTTGAGTGGTGACAGCAAAGATAATTCCCCTAAAAAAGTTGATGCCCAAAGATTTCTAGTTTTCTTTCATCCAAATAGAAGAGAAATCTACAGGACCACTAAATTGCTTCCTTTGCAGAGCTAATAAAAGTCTCCTGTTGTAACAGACAATCCAAGAAAAGGCAGACATAAATCCCAACACTCATCTTTAAAAGGGAACACGAGAGCAGCAGATGAAATCTCCTATTTTATCTTTGTTTCAAGCACTTGCAATCCCATATTACCAACTCCTGCTTTCTCTTCCCTGGAAGCAATTACATGTGCATTTCTTAAGTTGTCAGCAAAGTAAAGCCTAAGGGATCAAAATGAAGGGTCATTTCTTAGGGCTATTTATCCCTTCCCACTTGCCACTGTTATATTTTTGTTTGGACCTTTCTAAGCAAAGAGTCAGACTTGACATATCAAAGGACTTTCATCCACACTTGAAGAAAAATAACTTACAAATGAAAATAAAATGCCAAGTGTCATATATTAGCATAAGTGAGAAATGTGTTCTAGAATTACAGATGACTTTTCAAGTGTTAACCTGACGGATTTGGGGAAGAACAAAAAGTTCATATGGATCTTTCAATCCTTGAGTTATGTAACATGCTGTGAAATAGCTCTTAGACACTTCCACTAACTTTCTTTTTTCCTTTTCTTTTTTTAAATTGGAATATAATTGCTTTGGGCTTCCCAGGTGGCTCAATGGTAAAGAATCCGCCTGCCAGTGCAGGAGACAGACACAAGAGACGTGGGTTCGATCCATGGAGAAAATGGAAACTCCAGTATTCTTGTCTGGGAAATCCCATGGACAGAGGAGCCTGGCGGGCTATAGTCCATGGGGTTGCAAAGTGTCAGACATGACTGAGCATGCACATGCACATCATTGCGTTACAGTGCTGCATTAGTTTCTGCTGCCTTACAGTGAATCAGCTATATGTATGCTTATGTCCCCTCACTCTTGGACCTTCCACCCCAAACCCCTCATCCCACCCATCTAACTCGTCACAGAGCACCGAGTTGAGCTTCCTTTGCTTTATATCAGGTTCCGCCAGCCATTTTACACACAGTAGTGTATATATGTCAATCCTAACCTCCCAATTTGTCCCATCCTCCTCTTACCACTTGTAGAAAGTGATCTCTGAGGCTTAATTTTGTTTCAGAAACAATAATAATAGAGCCTATTTTGTAACTTTGGAGTGAGGATTAGAGCTAATATACTTGCAGTGCTTTGTACAGTATTTTGTATATTATTGACACCTAATAGTCATATCTGACTCTTGGCGACCAGTCCATGGGATTTTCCGGGCAAGAATACTGGAGTGTATTGCCATTTCCTTCTCCAGGCAATCTTCCCAACCCAGGGGTCGAACTTGGGTCTCCTGCATCACAGGCGGATTTTTTACCACTGAGCCACCAGGAAAGCCCCCTTTTTAATTTTTCTTCTAACTCAAATGAGGCTGGTGATGGAGACAGGAGGCCAGGAGGAGAAATGGTGAGGGAAGTGAGCTTGTATTGGTTTTCCTTTAACATTCAAAGTAAAATAAGCTTTTAAGGAAGAATAACCAGGCTGAAACCAAGGTACTCCTCCCCTGCTATATAGTGTCCTGAGGCTGCTCTAACAGGTCACCACAAACTGAGTGGCTTCACACCACAAAACTCCATTCTCTCCAGATATGGAGGCTGAAGTCTGAAACCAAGGTGCCATCAGAGCCATGCTCCAGGAAAGAAGCCTTTCTTGCCTCTTCTAGTGTTTGGGAGTTTCCAGGTGTTCCTTGGGAAACCAGTCATGGGGTCAGCATCCACCCTAATCTAGTCCGATCCCATCTTAACGAGTTACACCTACATGAATTATTTCCAAGGAAAGTCACATTCTGAGATTCTAGGTGGACGGGAATATTGAGAGGATGGGAGTTCTATTCAGTTCAGTACAGCTGGATACTGTGCACCAATCCACTCTGTGCCTTACCCCCCATGGCATCAACCCCATCACTCACACACACACATACACACATACACACACACACTACATACACATCTTCTGGATTCCCCCTGAGTGAGGCTACTGGGACAGAATGCTTTAGGTTTGAGATAGAGTTGTTTTGCATATTTGAAGGGAAAGTCTGGAGAAAAATCTTATAGGAAGAAAGATCAAAAGCACATCTTTCTGTCTTTCTTCTATCTTCTTCACTTACTAATTCAGATCTGTCTCAGAAAAAAAAAAATTCTTGAAAATCTCTCTGGCTTCTGCCATCTGGAGATGACAACGTGTGTCTTATTCCACATTTCAGCTTCTTCACTCTCTCATCATCACTAATGTTCTAGACACTCCAGTCCATTTATTCACTAGTATTTCGGAAGCAAAGCAACAGATCCAGGAGGGTTGGCCACAGGAGGGAGTAGCTTCAGGATATGGAGGAGAAGGTTAGTGTAGATGAAGAACAAAAAGGACCTGGTGGCAGAGGAGTTATCAACTTTGTGCTGAAGTCATGACACGCAGAATGAAGGTAGGACTTGGGGTGAGAAGCCTGGGGCCTCTCCAGTAACTGCAACAGAGAATATGGAACAGGAAATGATGGCAGAGACAAGGGGGTGCTGCTGTTACATGACAGGAACCCCAGGGAACATTTGGACATCTCGGTGAAGGGAGAGGACTAGTGGTCTAGAAGTGGCAGTCAGATGTAAGAGGACACCAATCCTATTTCCCAATCCTGACATGAAGGACAGTTGGTGATAAATGGCCTCCATTTGAGAGGCATCTTGAAAGCAGGGTCTTGCACGGGGTTGGGGGGCAGTTTTCTATTGAAGCATGAAGGATAGAAGAATGTCAGTTGTGGAGATAGGGGGTGTAATTATGTGTCTATCCTGTTCTGGAAGCTCCAGAGAATGAAATACAAGGATCAGAAAGGAGGGCTCTAGTGAAAGGTTAGATCAGAATAACATGGAGTATGAGGTTATAGAAGAAGACAATAAGTGGAGGAAGCATTATTCTTAGGTGGTAAGCCAGGTGAGTGATGGTGGGTTACGCTGGGCATTTGATTGCCCAGAAAACTAGTCCCAACATTCTCTCTGTGGCTGGAAGGAGACATTCTGGGATTTACAAAGTTCTCCTAGATGCACTTTCAAGCCATGGGGAAAAAAGGGACCCTGAGCTCTTGAAAGATGTGACTTACGGCTTGGATTGACTGTGATGGGCCCAAGGAGGTTCTGGACATCAGTAACTTGCACTTGCCCCCAGAGAGTGGTTAGGGGCTCCCAACCCAGATAGCCTTGGCTGGGAGGGGTGGTGGGAGCAGGCTCTTTGAGAAGCAGCAATACCCAGATCTCAACATACAACCAGCTCAGCTTCTTCTGTGGGGACTCCAAGCCCAGCAATACTACTGTTCTAGATTCTGTGTGCAGTCTAGAGGCAGAGATAGGGTCTGCACCTAACACTTTTTCAGTGTCCTTTGTACTGGGTCCACAGAGGTCAACTGTGAGCCCAGGCAGCTAGCTATAACAGGAAGGTTCATCAAATATGCCAGTTTTCTGGATGAAATGGAGATATAATAAATCTCAAAAATGGAAAGAAATTTACCCTGAACAACCAAATGGGCTACTCTTTAATAGTGGAGAATATTATGTAACAGCAAAGACTAAAAATGGATACTAAAAGGCATATGATTTTTGATAACTATTTCTAATTACACATTGGAAATGCAAGCTATCTCTTTATAAAGTATAAATCAAGCAACATCCAGAATTTAATCTCAATTCTAACTCAGTTCATGGAGAAAAAGAGGCCCAGAAATCAGTAAGGAAAAAAGACTTCACTCAAGCCCTCTTATATCTAATCAGGGTTGGCTCTCAAAAAGCAATGGATAATACGGAGAGAAAGAGATCACTTAGACACCATTGTGTGGTGATTTCTTATTAACATTTAATTTAAGAAAAAGACCATTCTTAGAATTTGAGAACTTGCTAGAAAATAAAATACCTCTTTTTCCCTGAAACTGACCTTGCTGCCCAGAAGCCTCCAAGCCTTCCTGGAATTTTTTTCTAGAGAGTTCAGTAAAGATTTATAAAGGCAACCCCATCTTCTGCTAACATGATATGCAGAGGCCTTCTTCCTCCTAGAATTACAGGATCTATAATCCAATATTCTTTAGAAATGAAGAGGTCATAAGGCAATTCTACTACCAACAAGCACCAATTTCAACTGGAACGTAATTTCGAAATCAAGACCCAAGTCAGTAAACATTACACTGAAATGCACGATGTATTGAAGTTATACTGGGACATTGGTTAGTCCAAGGAAGCGTTGGTAGAGGAATAGAGGATGGCTTGGTTTACGTGGTCACTGCAACTTCTCAGAGACTCACCCAAAGAATGCAATAGTTGGGATGTTACTCTTCTCTTCCCCTCAAACCTCCACCTCTACTATGATTAACCAGCAGTTGTCTACTAAGCCACTGATTTCTAGTGGTGGTCAGTGGAGAAACAGCATAGAAGAGTGGTTACAGGAAGATTGCCTGAACTGGAATTCTGGCTCGGCCACTTAGTAGCTGTTTATCCCTTGGAGGGTTCCTCAGTCTCTTCGTGTCCCTGTTACATCAATGAGGTAATAATAGCACCGCTCATGGGCTTCTTACAAGGATCAAATGAGTTGGAACAGTGTGGCCACATAGTAGCAGCTTGATAAGTTTTTAAATTGCTAAATGGTCATATGAACAGGAAACATGAAAACACACTCTCCTGATTTTTCTCACCTTGCTCAGAATTCAAGGAGGGTTACTCTAGGCAATATTGTCAGTATATATTTCAGTTTTTGCTTCCATGGTAGCTGTTGCAATATTGCTGTCATAACTTCGGAGGTCATGTTTCCAGACACAGTGTTCCCTGAAACTGTCTCATTCACCAATTCATGCCCAGTATAAATCCACACTTCTAGCAGATAATAGGTCCTCCAAGAAAAATTGTTCAACAAAATGAACCTTAGATGAAATAGTTACAGAAGACTTACGGTTACCAAAAGGAGAGAGAATGCAAAAAATGGAAATAGCCAGGAGTGGCCAATCAAAGAGTGGGCAGAACGGCCTGTAAACCAACACCTGGAAAGTGGAACTCCAATTCATCTTTCCAGTATCTTCTACCCAATCATGGTCCCTCCACCATCATTCGTCCATGCTGGTAAAGAATAATAACTAAGCTGCTTAAAATAGAGGCACAGAAGTTACTAGGGGGACTTCTCTGGCAGTCTACTGATTAAGACTCCATGCTCAGCACTTGGGGTAAAGAACCTGCCTGCCAGAGCAGGAGACGTAAGAGATGTGGGTTCAATACCCGGGTCGGGAAGATTCCCTGGAGGAGGGCATGGCAACCCACTCCAGTATTCTTGCCTGGAGATTCCCAGAGACTGAGGAGCCTGGAGCGCCAGGCTGTGACAGCGCAGGAGCAGTGGCCGAGAGGAGCTTCCCCACCTCCAAGGAGCAGCAGCTGTGGGGGCTCAGGAGGGCCGAGAGGAGCTACTCCACGTTCAAGGTCAGGAGGGGCGGCATGAGGAACTACCCCTCGTCCAAGGTAAGGAGCAGCAGCTGCGCTTTGCTGGAGCAGCCGTGAAGAGATACCCTACGTCCAAGGTGAGAGAAACGCAAGTAAGATGGTAGGTGTTGCATGAGAGCATCAGAGGGCAGACACGCTAAAACCATAATCACAGGAAACTAGCCAATCTGATCACACGGACCACAGCCTTGTCTAACTCAGTGAAACTAAGCCATGCCGCGTGGGGCCACCCAAGACTGTCGGGTCATAGTGGAGAGGTCTGATAGAATGTGGTCCACTGGAGAAGGGAATGGCAAACCACTTCAGTATTCTTGCCTTGAGAACTCCGTGAACAGTATGAAAAGGCAAAATGATAGGATACTAAAAGAGGAACTCCCCAGGTGCCCAATATGCTACTGGAGATCAATCGAGAAACAACTCCAGAAAGAATGAAGGGATGGAGCCAAAGCAAAAACAATACCCAGCTGTGGATGTGACTGGTGATAGAAGCAAGGTCTGATGCTGTAAAGAGCAATATTGCATAGGAACCTGGAATGTTAGGTCCATGAATCAAGGCAAATTGGAAGTGGTCAAACAGGAGATGGCAACAGTGAATGTCGACATTCTAGGAATCAGCGAACTAAAATGGACTGGAATTGGTGAATTTAACTCAGATGACCATTATATCTACTACTGTGGGCAGGAATCCCTTAGAAGAAATGGAGTAGCCGTCATGGTCAACAAAAGAGTCCGAAATGCAGTACTTGGATGCAATCTCAAAAACGACAGAATGATCTCTGTTCATTTCCAAGGCAAACCATTCAATATCATGGTAATCCAAGCCTATGCCCCAACCAGTAACGCTGAAGAAGTTGAAGTTGAATGGGTCTATGAAGACCTAAAAGACCTTTTAGAACTAACACACAAAAAAAGATGTCCTTTTCATTATAGGGGACTGGAATGCAAAAGTAGGAAGTCAAGAAACACCTGGAGGAACAGGCAAATTTGGCCTTGGAGTACAGAATGAAGCAGGGCAAAGGCCAATAGAGTTTTGCCAAGAGAACGCACTGGTCATAGCAAACACCCTCTTCCAACAACACAAGAGAAGACTCTACACATGGACATCACCAGATGGTCAACACCAAAATCAGATTGATTATATTCTTTGCAGCCAAAGATGGAGAAGCTCTACACAGTCAGCAAAAACAAGACCGGGAGCTGACTGTGGCTCAGATCATGAACTCCTGATTGCCAAATTCAGACTTAAACTGAAGAAAGTAGGGATAACCACTAGACCACTCAGGTATGACATAAATCAAATCTCTTATGACTATACAGTGGAAGTGAGAAATAGATTTAAGGGACTAGATCTGATAGACAGACAGCCTGATGAACTATGGACAGAGGTTCATGACATTGTACAGGAGACAGGGATCGAGACCATCCCCATGGAAAACAAATGCAAAAAGGCAAAATGGTTGTCTGAGGAGGCCTTACAAATAGCTGTGAAATGAAGAGAAGCGAAAAGCAAAGGAGAAAAGGAAAGATATTCCCATTTGAATGCAGAGTTCCAAAGAATAGCCAGGAGAGATAAGAAAGACTTCCTCAGCAATCAATGCAAAGAAATAGAGGAAAACAACAGAATGGGAAAGGCTAGAGATCTCTTCAAGAAAATTAGAGATATCAGGGAACATTTCATGCAAAGATGGGTTCGATAAAGGACAGAAATGCTATGGACCTAACAGAAGCAGAAGATATTAAGAAGAGGTGGCAAGAATACACAGAAGAACTGTACAAAAAAGATCTTCATGACCCAGATAATCACAATGGTGTGATCACTCACCTAGAGTCAGACATCCTGGAATGTGAAGTCAAGTGGGCCTTAGGAAGCATCACTACAAACAAAGCTAGTGGAAGTGATGGAATTCCAGTTGAGCTATTTCAAATCCTAAAAGATCATGCTGTGAAAGTGCTGCACTCAATATGTCAGCAAATTTGGAAAACTCAGCAGTGGCCACAGGACTGGAAAAGGTCAGTTTTCATTCCAATCCCTAAGAAAGACAATGCCAAAGAATGCTCAAACTACCACACAATTGCACTCATCTCACATGCTAGTAAAGTAATGCTCAAAATTCTCCAAGCCAGGCTTCAGCAATACATAAACCGTGAACTTCCAGATGTTCAAGTTGGTTTTAGAAAAGGCAGAAGAACCCGGAGATCCAATATCCGCTGGATCGTCAAAAAAGCAAGAGAGTTCCAGAAAAACATCTATTTCTGCTTTATTGACTACACCAAAGCCTTCGACTGTGTGGATCATAATAAACTGTGGGAAATTCTGAAAAAGATGGGAATAGCAGACCACCTGACCTACCTCTTGAGAAACCTGTATCAGGAAGCAACAGTTAGAACTGGACATGGAACAACAGACTGGAGGACAAGGAGTACATCAAGGCTGTATATTGTCACCCTGCTTATTTAACTTATGTGCAGAGTACATCATGAGAAACACTGGGCTGGAAGAAGCACAAGCTGGAATCAAGATTGCTGGGAGAAATATCAATAACCTCAGATATGCAGATGACACCACCCTTATGGCAGAAAGTGAAGAAGAACTAAAGAGCCTCTTAATGAAAGTGAAAGAAGAGAGTGAAAAAGTTGGCTTCAAGCTTAACATTCAGAAAACTAAGATCATGGCATCTGGTTCCATCACCTCATGGGAAATAGATGGGGAGACAGTGGAAAGAGTGTCAGACTTTATTTTTGGGGGCTCCAAAATCACTGCAGATGGTGACTGCAGCCATGAAATTAGAAGACGCTTACTCCTTGGAAGGAGAGTTATGATCAACCTGGATAGCATATTAAAAAGCAGATACATTACTTTGCCAACAAGGTCCATCTGGTCAAGGCTATGGTTTTTCCAGTGGTCATGTATGGGTGTGAGACTTGGACTGTGAAGAAAGCTGAACACCGAAAAGTTGATGCTTTTGAACTGTTGTGTTGGAGAAGACTCTTGAGAGTCCCTTGGACTGCAAGGAGATCCAACCAGTCCATCCTAAAGGAGATCAGTCCTGGGTGTTCATTGGAAGGACTGATGCTGAAGCTGAAACTCCAGTACTTTGGCCACCTCATGCGAAGAGTTGATTCATTGGAAAAGACCCTGATGCTGAGAGGGATTGGGGGCAGGAGGAGAAGGGGATGACAGAGGATGAGATGGCTGGATGGCATCACCGACTCGATGGACATGAGTTTGAGTAAACTCTGGGAGTTGGTGATGGACAGGGAGGCCTGGCATGCTGCAATTCATGGGGTCACAAAGAGTCGGACACGACTGAGTGACTGAACTGAACTGAACTGAACTAAGGAGCCTGGCAGGCTACAGTCTACAGAGTCACAAAGAGTCGAACACAACTGAAGCAACTTAGCATGCACACACACACTTTTCCACTGCAAGAGGTGCAGTTTGGTCCCTGGTTGGGGATCTGAGATCTCACATGCTGTGCAGCAT